AAAAAAAATATATATATATATATATATATAAAATGTTCATGTAAAGTTATGGTAAATATACAAACCAGTATTGTAATTTGGCTCATATCTCCACTTCTTATTTTCTACATTATTTAAAATATAAATGCGTAAAACATAGATTATAAATTCATATTGATGACTATATGATATATAAAGATATTATCTGGGACATCAATAACAAAGTGGATAGGGGCAGATGTTTTTGTCTGTAATTTAGTTAACCTGGCATCAATTTAAGAAATGTTGCCATAACTTTAGAGTGTTATATATAATCCTATGGCAACCATAAAGAAAATATCTATAGAATATACTCAGAAGCAGACCTTGAACAACTATCTTAATACTATAAGAAAGATATTGGCAGTAGTGAGAAACTGCTGGGGGTGGGAGGGACACACCTCATCAACAAGGTTACCTGCATAAGGAACATTTGTGTACCTAGTAATGAATTGCACCCCACAATATTAAAATAAAAGATTTTTTTAACAAGCCACATAAAAGGAAATGAGAAGGGGATAAAATTGTGCCGCTAAAAAATGTTAAATGCAAAGGAAGATAGTAGTGGAAATAATGAGCGACAAGAAAGCTATCAGATGCGGAAAACAACAAGATGGCAAAAGAAAGTTTTTCCCTGTTGGTAATTACTTGAAGTGTAAATGGATAAACACTTAATTCAAAAGATGTAGCATGACAAAATGTATTTTAAAAATGGGATCCAGGGATGGGCATGGTGGCTCACACCTATAATCCCAGCAGAAGTTTTGGAAGGCTGAGGATTGCCTGAGCCTACAGGTTCGAGATCAGACTAGGCAACTTGGCAAGACATCCTCTCTACAATAAATTTTAAAAAAATTAGCTGGGCATGGTGGTGCATGCCTGTAATTCCAGCTACTTGAAAGGCTGAGGCAGAAGGATCACCTGAGCCCAACAGGTCAAGGCTGTGGTGGCTGTGAGTGTGCCACTGCACTCCATCCTGGGTGATAGAGTAAGACTCTTAACTAAAAAAAACAAACAAACAAAAAAAGCAAGAAACAGGATCCAACTATATGTTACCGACAAGATACTCATTTTAGATCTAAGTGCATATATAAGTTTTTAGTGAATGAATAGAAGAGGATATCCCATGGAAACAGAAACCAAAAGAAAGCAAGGACAGTTAATATCAGACAAAACAGATTTTAAGTGAAAAACGATTACGAGAGAAAAAGAAAGGCCCTATATAATGATAACAGGGCCAACTCACCAAGAAGTTACAATAATTATAAACACATTCAGATGGTCTCCAACTTGATAATTTGACTTAGAATGTTTTGACTTTAAAATGGTATGAAAACAATATGCATTCAGTGCAATATTCAATAAAGTACATGAGATTTTCAACACTTTATTATAAAATCTCCTTTGTATTAGATACTTTTGCCACACTGTAAGCTATAAGTGTTCTGAGCACATTTAAGGTAGGCTAGGTTAAGCTATGATGTATATTGAATGCATTTTTGCCTTATAATATTTTTAATTCACAGTGGGTTTATTGAGACATGACCCCATTGTAAGTTAGGGAGCATCCATAGGCATCAACAATCCAAGATCTCAAGTTTATGAAACAAATGCAGACATAATTGAAGAGGGAAATAGATAACACTAATAGTAGAGGACTTCAATAGACCACTTTCGATAATGAAGAGAACAACCAAACAGAATATCATTAAGGTAATAGAAAATGTGAATGACACTATAAACTAATTGGACCTAACAGAAAATGTACAGAACACTCCACCCAATAATAGCAGAATACACAGTTTTCCCAGGTGTACATGAAATTTTATCCAGGATAGATCATATCATAGGCCACAAAATGAGTCTTAATAAGTTTTAAAAATCTGAACTCATACACTGTATCTTTTCTAACCAC